GGGGGAGGAAAGAAAGGCCGCCCCTGGCGATGACATGCTGAACCTGGACACCCAGGCTCGGGGGGAGGAAAGAAAGGCCGCCCCTGGCGATGACATGCTGAACCTGGACACCCAGGCTCCGGGGGAGGAAAGAAAGGCCGCCCCTGGCGATGACATGCTGAACCTGGACACCAGGCTCGGGGGGAGGAAAGAAAGGCCGCCCCTGGTGATGACATGCTGAACCTGGACAACAGGCAAAAGGACAAATACCACAGAACCCTGCTTATATGAAGAAGGTAACATAGTCAGGTTTTCACAGTTTCAAAGATGTGGAAACAACCCACATGCCCATCAATGCGTGAATGGATTAATAAAATGCGGTATGTGTGTACCAGGGAGTACTATTCAGCCGTAAGAAGGTGAGCTAACAGCTTTTGTACCCAGATGGAACCAGAGACCAAATTCCTAAGTGAAGTATCACAAAAAATGCAAAAAACACCGTATGTGTTCACTTTTAAATTGGAGCAAAAAGACCGATACACAAATATACATATGGTAGTGCAGTTCTGTGGAAACCAAACCTTAACATATTAACAGGTAAAATGTACCCTACGTGGGGGATAGACACCATTAGTAACATTGACTCAGACTGCACAAAAGAGTGTAACTAAAACGTGTATATCCCTGTAACATTCTGGAATGTTTTTAAGGTAAAATAAAATAAAATAGCCACATTTATGAAAACAAAGCGTCGAGGTGAGGGAGAGGGTGAAACAAGGAGATAGTGAAGGATACAAATTTCAGTTATACAAGATGGACACATCCTGTAGGTCTACGGATAGCACTTAAAACTCATGGAGGGGTAGATCTCACGGGAAGGGTTTTTATCACAAATGACACTAAATAAGGTCAGAGCAAGGTTTTGGAGGTGATGGATATGATTATGGCATAGATTGTGGTGATGGTTTCATGGGTGCATAATTATCTCCTAACTCATCTAGTTGTGTATATTACATAAGTATATATGTAAAAAATATATATATATATTTTTGTATATATGATACAAAAATCATTTTGTATGTCAATTGCATCTCACTAAAATATTTAAATACATATATAAATATATATAAATTATTAAAATTATATATTATAAAATATATATAAATATAAATATCAAAATACATATTTATATAGTTATTAAAATTTGTGTTCCTAGTAGTTGATAATTGTTGATACGTTACAATTTTTACTTTATAGGACCACTTAAACTATATCTAAAGTTTAAATTTCAAAGCAAAATATAACTAGATTCTATTTAATAATAACACAGTCACTTACTGATCAATGAAGGTGTACGTGAAAGGAAAAACCGATGTCAAAAACACACAGAACCACACCTCCCCTCTACTTTATCTTCTAGGATACTCTTAACATCAGAGCTTTAGACACACAGACCATAATTCAGATTCAGATGTATAGAGACACTTTATATACTTTAGAGTATATGTATGATATGCACAATTTCTTGTAAATAAAATTGACTTTTTATTAAGTCATTTAATCCTAAAATACATATAACTACAACAATAACAACACAAATGTCTTAGCTCATTTTTGTATTTCACCTTACGGATGAAATGTTAAGTTCTCACTTTTTTATGTGTTAAAATATTTAGTACACTTAACATATTAAAATATTACTTATGAACTATTGACTTCTCTATTTTAAAGGATAATTTGTCCTTATTATAAAATACTACAAACTAAAATATTTCCATTTAGAAAATTGGTTGCATTTTGAAGTCAGTGTATCTAAATCCTAATAAATAAAAGATAGCTCTTTGGAATATTAGCATTTAAATTTTGTGTTACTTTTTATTGGGTAGCTGATTATTTTCATGCATCAGTTGGTCCTTTCACTCACCTCTATCAGTGATACACGCCTAACACAAAATCAGACCAACCTTCCACTAAAGTTCAAACACTGAAGTGGACTCACCATATTCCAGCCTGGGTAGAGGTAGTCTGTGCCAACAAATTCAAAGTAGTGAGCAAACCCTTCCTTCAGCCACACGTCTTCCCACCACACAGGAGTCACAAGGTCACCAAACCACTGCAGTAACAAAATGAATGGCCATCAAATAAAATCAAATCTATCCTGAAACTTTTTTTTATCTAAAATTAAATGTAGTAGATAAACTATGATTACTATAACTAGAACTCATTCCCCAATTGATTTTGTGATCTTAAAATGTGTTGTGGCAAGACTATATTGATTTATTTGATTGCTTGAGTGACACTAGTGTTTTATACATGCCTTCTGCCAAAAAAGAAAAAAAAAAAAAGATCAATGGACACAAAAGGAATATTTAACCTGGAGAAAAAGGAAGAGCAGAAAAGTTGATGACAGGCTGCCTTCTAAAGGCTTATTATGGAGAAAAGGAAAAGACTTTTTTATGTGTGGCCCTTACAAGGGACAAGCTGGACTGATCCATGGTAAACGTCTGCTGAAAATGGAGAAAACCCTGTAACAGGTGAGCTGTTCTGTGACAGGAACACTGCACTGCCTTGATAGGTGGGGAGCAGCTCATCGCAGGGAGCACAGCAGCATCACCCTTGGGGGGGGGGGTAAGACGCAAACTAGGGGATGACATTGACCAATTATTTAATGCCCTCCACATCTGACTTTCCATGATTCCATGATAATGAGGATTAGACTAAAAAAACAAAATCCCTCTAAGATCCCTTTATGGAAAAATCATGCATTTTTACTAGTGTCATTAGATCAGGACACAGTATTATGAAACTCTTGCTTAAAATATCAAAGGAATTCCTTTCTCTTTTTAAAAAATACATTATATGTAGTAGCTATCCAAAAGAACTGGGATTCAATGAACAGAAGTTAGATAGTATCTCTTTTCCTACAGCTGACATTTTATTGTGGTAGAGGGAGTGAGGTAAGGTAGCCAAAAAACTCAGTAAGTGAATAAACAAATGAGTGATGCAATTTCAGGTCCTAATACAGTGTTACAGAAATCAGAGGACAGGACTGCTTAGATTGTAAAGGCACAAATGTCCCCTCTGAGCAGGTAACATTTGCCCTCAGACTTTGGTGATAAGAAAGAGCCAGCCACAAAGAAGCCCTGGGCAGAAGGACTTTGGGCAGATGTAAATGGCCTTACGATGAAGGCCCAGAGGGAGAATGAGCCAGCGGGGAAACAGAAGAGCTGTGTGCCTGGAATGGGGCAGCCCAGGAGGAGGGGAGTGGGAAGAGCCGGCAGGCAGGAAGTACCAGGTCATGTCAGGCTTCAGTAACGAGTTTGGTAACTGAGACTGTCAGAGTGATAATAAAGTATCTCTTCTTCAAAAGGCTCGCTAATGTAAATGCAAATAAAAGATCACTCCCAACATACTGGTAACCACAAAAAAAATTTCAAAGCTTTAAAATTCTTCATCAAAAATGCATATTTATCCTCTAAATTGAAAACTTGCCTTCAGAATTTTGACAACAAATGGGTGGGGAGGGTAGGTATCATA